ATTACGTGGCAATTCTTAAACTATACCAAACCCTAATGGGAGGACTGACTAGGATTTAGGGTTTGTCTGATGAAGGCCCATATCCAATCAAGACTCACCAGTGGCAGTAACAACAAGAAGGCCTATTTTTCTTCTTGGGTCCATTATGGACTAACGTGCACCATTCCTTCTTAAGAGCCCAAACTAAAAGTGGAGTTGCAATTGATTTCTGATTTCATTTCACGCTTAAAAAGAAGAAAAAAAATTTGGGATAATTTTTTTATATTATTTTTTAATATAATTTTATAGATAATTTAAATAATTAATTTTTTTATTTATGTGTGATATATGATATTAAATTTATTTATTTATTTAATAATATATAAAAGGTTAAACCTCTGATTTGATCTTAAATTATTGTATGACCCTCGATTTGATCCCTAAACTAAAAAAATCTTTGATTTGATCTCTAAATTATTGTACGGACCTCCAATTTAGTCCATAATAGTTACCAATTTGTTCCAAGTTGGTCCTTTCATGCACAAAAAAAGCTAATATATTTGTTATTTAGCGACAAAAAATAATAACTTAACAATGAAAAATAATAACATAACGGTCACTTGTCACGTTAATAATAAGATATATCAATTAGTTTTTGTATAGAATGAGCAACTTAAGGTAAATTGATAAACAGTGAGGATTAAATTGGGTCCGTACAATAATTTAAAGACCAAATCAAAAATTTTTTTAATTTAGAGACCAAATCAAAGTTCATAAAATAATTTAAGGATAAAATTAAAAATTTAACTTATATAAAAATTATATTAAAATATAATATAATAAAACTATCCTTATAGCATCGAAAAAAAAAAACAAGGCAGAGGAAAAGACAAGTAATGGTGGTGTAATACGAAGAAAACGTGGTATCGGGACCACTGGTAACCGATCTTTTTCCCGTTTTAAAAAACGGGACCTTCCACGTGGGTTCTGTCAGAAGCCCACTTGAGAAGCCTGAATATTCAGTCTTCTTTGGTGGGCCTCATGGGGGAATCCCGGAAACGCTAGGCTTGCGGTTGCCGTAAGTCCTACCCAATGGTTAACTGACAGCACGGGATCGAGGAAAGCGATGCATCACAATTTAGGAAGGACTACGATGTCGTTTACTGAATCACGGAAAATTATTTTAGATTTATCTAGTAATGTAAGAATATAAGTTAAAAATATAATTAATATTTTTT